GTGATCAGAGCACAAGGATAAATAGCACAAATCTACTTATAAGCTACATCATCGCTCTCTACTCCTCCTTAACAAGCTGTCACTTGGTCTCCTTTTTCCAGAGAAGGCCAAATTTAGCACCATGCTCTAGAAGATAGTGAGCTGTTTTGCAAATTTCCCTATCTTCTAGCTCAAAAGAAAAAACTTGAAGGAAAATTCAAAATAAAACATTTTTGACAGTTAGGCTTTTTTGGATGATTTTCCTTTAAAATATATTAGTTAAAGACCAAACTGCATTGACTGCATTTCTGATTAAATATGTGACTGATAATAATTCTACATTTGCAGAGCCAATGTAGCCAATTTATTGTGTATTATGGCAAACTCTTCCTTAAAAATAACAGCACAGAATGGCATTTTGAGTGAACAGAACTTTAAGCAATCTTTGGTAGAGTAAAACAAAGTGAAGCCCTATCTGTTTTCTAGGGACATAAATAAATTATGGTCTTCTCTTGTGTGGCTACTCTCTCCTGCAGAAGCAACAAAAAAGAGAAAATGGCTTCATTTTGTTGTCTGAATGGTGGGAAGGAGCCTCTTTGCTTTAATTAAGTTTAGGTGCTTAAGTTTGAAGACCTATGACCAGAAATTCAGAATTAATGAATATTCATAGCTCTGAGTAAAGTGGATAAGAGTGTGCTGGTCCCCAGTGTACTGAAATGAAGCCTAAAGTATTTCTGACTCAGCACACAAAACCAGACATCCCTCAACTCAAGAGGTATTTGTAGAAATCTTAAAGTGCTTTTTCCAAGGGCAGTGTTATCAGATTACCATCTGATTTACCTTGACTGAGACTTGAGTCTCAGTTTAGAAGTCTCTCATTCTGTGTTTTCAGTGTCCAGGTATTGACATATGTATTACTGTCTATATTATTCAGCATTTACTAGGAGTTAACTCCTCCTTGCTTCTAAGGTGCTTATCCATACGTTGAACAGTAGTTAGGAGATTCCTTATAATGACCCTGTGTCGTAGCTGGGCCAAGAGTCTGAGAGAAAACCTACAGCTCTCTTCTTTCCATGCACTCACCATGGAGAGCAAACCTGTACTTATATGTCATTGGCTTCTGTTTCTCATATTCGTCTCTGTTTTAGATCACCATGCAAGAGGGACACAGTCAAGGGGCTCTGATAGAAGAGGATGACAGGAGCCTTGATTATCAGTCTGAACCCAGCTTGGACATCCCCAGCTACCGGAAGAGCTCCCTCCACAAGACTTATCAGTCTTCCCCACTCCAGATAGATTCCTTTGCCATCAATTCACGATCCCTGAGCCTGAAATCTGCTGGCAGGAGAGGGACAGACAAAGTGCCCCTTCAACCAATAAAGTCTGAAGGGGCAGCTTCCACCCCTTACAAAAGCATCTTTTCTCCCAATTCCCTGTCAAACAGAAATGGGAGTCTTTCATATGACAGTTTGCTAAACCCCATGTCGCCCTCGGGGAGGAAGTGCATCGCCCATTCTGCAGTCAGCTCCGTTGGGTACCACTCCCCATATTTATCAGCCAAAATGTGCCATCTACGGGGGAGCGAGCTGCAACGCCAACCACTGCAGAGCTTCAGCCCAGTGCTCGGGGGTCCAGCTCCACATCAGCGAGATCCCTCCCCAGTCCGCTATGATAACCTTTCCAAAACCATTATGGCATCCATCCAGGAGAGGAAAGAGATGGAAGAGAGGGAGAAGCTCCTTCACTCGCACCCTGATTCGGTGTTTGCAGACTCAGGTGTCTATGACACCCCTAGCTCTTACAGCCTTCAGCAAGTCAGCACACTCTCTGAAGACCCACGGAGCATGGCAATGAGATACGGATCTAGAGACAATCTGATGGCTGCTACCAGTTTTAGCACAAGGAACCCTATACTGCAGTCCTCAGTGTCTTCACTCTCAAGTGCAATGACAAGAGCACCAAGGACTTCCACAACCTCTCTGCAAGCTGATTTAGCCAATAATAACGTCCAGTCCCATCAAGCACTACAGGGCAGGGTGAGCAATGGGTCCTACAAATCCCCAGGCCACCAGGTCCCATCGTCCCCCACAGGGATGCCTAGGTCACCCTCTTACGGAGGCCCGAAGGCTGTCTCATTTGTAAACACTGTGGAAATTACAGAGGTGCAATCAGTGGGAGCACAAAGGTACGTACAGCTTTAGGTGCTGCTTAGCAATGTGAATCTGTTTGCAAGCAAGCGCAGGGTGCTTCCATGGAGGCATAACCCAGATGATTACATGTTTGCTGTAGGCCGGCGAGGGTGGGAGGTTTGTGGGTGCTCTCCAATTCTGCAACACCCTCACAGCAACTTCATCATCACTAAATATTTGCACATTTGTTGTAACTTGAACTGCAGGCAGTCAATTAAGTTGTAAAAGTCATAGTGATTTAGTATCTAAGCTGAATTAGATAATTATTTGCAAGATACGAGGCAGATTATCCTTCCTGTTATGCACAAAAGGGTGGAGCTGTTTTAATTTGCACCCTAATGGAAGGCTGGATCCAGTCATTGCTTGGACACAGAGGCAAAGCTGGGATCGCAGCACGTGCAAGCATACGTTGCACTAAAAGAAACAGGGGCTGAGACTAGTCCTGGAAATTGTGCTTGGCATAGAGAGCTGTGTATTTAGCTGTGCTGAGTGGCCCGTAGTACAGAACTGGTGATAAAAGCACAGACTGTCTCGGGCCTTAGAGCCTCGCTGCCTCCTTCCTTTCTGTGAGAAAGCGTGGGGAGAGAGAGAGGATCTGCTGCGCTGAGAGACTAAGTGCTATCTAAGCACGATCTTCAGCTGCAGCTTCTGCAGTACTTATCTTTCTTTCTCTTCCTTCTGGAGACTGTAGGGCTTAGAGAGTCTGAAAAGAGCTACGTGATCCTGCTGAGGATGCAGCATTTCAGCCAAGTTGGGGCTTGGAGGGCTTATCAGAAATATTTAGGATTTCTTTGCATCTGGCACTTACTGCACTATGCTGTCCTCTGGTAAAGGTTCCAGGCTTCTTGGTCCAGTATTATCCAGCATTCTGGGGAAAGTTATTAAAATATGGGAGAATCATTGGTATAGGTCTCCTGAAGTTTGGTGTCAGCAAGTTTATCATCAATGTTTTCAAGTGAATTGTAGTTGTTAAGATAATTTGTCTGCTGGCGGAAGATGTAACTTTCAGGAGGTAGACAGCCATTTTTTCCTCTTCATCTGTGTTAAAGTAATTAATCTGTTTCAGTGACTT